GATCCAATGATAGTTTAACAACTTATGGTGATCTCATTTAATTTTTATTTCTTACTTTTCTATTTTTTGTGACTTTTGATTTATGTTGATTAATTTTTGTATATTTAAAATTAGTTTCTGACCTTTTTAAATTCTAAAAAAAATTGTCAACAATTCTCGACTCATGTTTGACCTCTTGTAATTTTTTGAAGTTATTATTTGGTGTTATTATTTGGTGTTTTGATACACTTTGTTTATTTCACCAATTAATTCCATTTAATTAACTATTTTTAAAAATTGTTTTTATTTGTTTTATTACACTTTATTTTCTTTTTTTGATTAGTACTGACTTTTTGATACTTGGTCATATTTTGGGTTAATTTCCTCAACCTCATTGTATCTTGGGTGTTGATAAATTGAAAAACCAAATCCACCAAAATGAATGAGTGGTGTTGATGATAACTGAGACCCTTCTTTGATTCATTTGAGGCTTTGGTTCCACTGTGACATTCCTTTTAATCCTCACTTCATCTCTTTTTTTCTTTAATTAATCATTATTAGCTCAAACTTTATGTTTTAATGTCCAGGTATGATTGATTATTGGACTATGATTCAAAATCTTTGAAGCTTGTTATTGTTAGGAGACTTTGATTCTATCAATCCTCTAACAAGCATTCATCAACTTTGACCTAAATTCAATATTTAATCATCATTGATCATTTATTATGGATTCCATTTCCTTCATTCCTTTTATTTTCTTCTTTTCTTGAAATGGTCATTTGTGGCACAAACTTTATGTTTGAATGTCTGAGTATGGTTGATTGATTATTTTGGATCCAATATCTTTGAAACTTGTTGTTAGGAGGTTTTAATTTTATCAATCCTCTAATGAGTTTTCACTATTCTTGGTCCAAGATCATTATTCAATCATCATTGATCATGCCTTTGACCATTAGCCATTAACTTCTAACTCATTAACAATTAACTTTACTTTTATGCCTTTACCTTATGCATTTATTTTATGTCTTTACTTTTATGTATTTTTTATCTTTAGCATTTACATCTCATATTAATTTCCTTTTGCTCACTTGAGCCTTTATTTTTGTGTCATTTCTTCTTTGCTCATTTGAGATTTTCGTTTTCTTTTGAAGATACTTAATAACCAACTTGAACATTAAAAGACTTAAGGATCTTTATGAACCATTGATTACTATCCTTGGCATATTGGAGTTATGGATCTCTTATACTTTGGATTATAAGCCTTTATATTTGGAGACCCTGAGACCTTTGAACTTTGTTTACTTGTTATTATTCTGCTTGTGTATTGGGAAATCTTTTGTGTGCAGATGTTGTTTTGTTGGCCTTAAGTGATCTTTATGGCACATGGCTCAATATTTAAGACCTTGCTTTGGGTTTTAAAACCTTGAGTTTCTTTGATACTTCCTTGTTGGTGATTTATTTTCACATGATGATTGATATGCTCTTGGTCTATTTGGTACTTGTGGCTTTTAATCTAAAGGATGTAAATTCTACATTGATTTTATTATGCCAAGTGTTGGCTTCTTGTTTGGTTGGAATCTTCCTTACCTTAGCTTTTACTTTGTGTTTTAGGATAGTCTCTTCATCTCCCCCCATCTTCTTTAATTTTCAAAATCTTCTCCCTTTTTCAAAGGATTCTTGTTTTCAAAATTGAACCGCTTTTATAATAAACTTGGACTTAGATCCATGCATTTTCAAAACTCTTTTCTTAATAAAGTCACCAATCAATCTTAATCAAGACATGACTTCTTTCTTAATTACTTAAAAAATATGAAATAAATTTAAATCATTTTGCCACTTTGGCTTTTTTTACTTTAAAATATTTTCTGTAAAATTAACCAACACGCAAACTTTACAGTTTTTTATCTAAACTACATGGATTTTGATTTCAACATTGCACATTGTTTATATGTAGGCTTAGAACTCGTTGGAAGATTTATCAAATCAAAAATTGTAAAATATAATTCTTTCCTCATCTCCACAATCTATTTTGTACATACCTTTTTTTAGCCAAATAAACATATTTTCAAAGAGGCTCCTGCGGAGTACCATATATGTTTAGGGTGTTAATACATTCCCTTTTCATAACCAACCCCTTACCTTGATCTCTATTTTATTTTGGATTTATTCGCTCTTTTTCTATTTCCTTTTGGAAACAATAAAATATGGTGAAGACTTTCACTTTGTGAGTCAAGTCAATCAATAGCTTAGTCTCAACTTTTTACCGCTACAGTATCCATGTGTCCTCTCTCTACAAGCGCATTAATCATACCATGATACCTGCAACATAATCAATCTTGCTCAAGTCTCGCATCCCTGATAGTTGCAAAATTTCCTGAAACCATGCCTCATTTGTGTATTCCAGACGAGTGATCTTCCGCATATGGTCGATGATTTTTAACATATCATGTTTCTGCATACATGATTTAATGAATGAGTCAAACAAACAAACAAAAGTTTAAACAAACACGAGTTTAAATGAATAATTTCAACTAAATTTTACCTCTCTGTTCTAGATATGTCTGGCAACATGGTATGAATAAAGAGACAATAGTGATAAGTCTGACATGCCTCCTCCACATGCCTCCTCCAAAATCCCAAGGTGTCGCATCTGCCGCCTAGGCCTGAAATACCTGAAGTGTCGCCTCAATCGCCAGAGCTTGGGATTCCTCATGTACCTCTGGTGTTGTCTAGGCCCGGGATGCCTCTCTTGCCTCAAGTGCCTGAATAGGTGAACTCATGTGTACATGAAGATAAAGGCGGTGAGGCATGAGCAGGAGATCCTCTCCTGCTACGGGAGAAAAAGACAGAGATACATGCGCCCTGGAACCTGACGCCTCTGCATCAATCTATCTAAAGGTAGAAGGAGTCTGTGATTGCTAACTTTTTTCCCTCCAAACGGAAACATGTTGTGTAAGTCAGTCGTGTCTCAATCGGGATGGTCTTTCAACCATAATTCTTATAAATAAATAAGTGGCACACAATGAGTTCAATACAAAAAAAAAGGCAAAAACATTACACAAGCTGCTTTTAGAGATGCATTTCAGTTTCTGAATAAATGAAATATTTTGAATATGCATCTTTGGAAACTCCTGCAACTCCAAGCACCGTAAATGGCATAATGCATACTCATTAAACATAAAAAATAATCCATTGATCGTAAAAACAACCTAATAAAATCGTTCCTCATTATTTCTAAGCTATCAAACAATATTGTTAGTTAGGTGTGTTATGAGCGAGTTTGAAGTAAGATGTGTATGCTATTTGATGTTGCTTGGATGTGTTATGAGTGAGTTTAACAAAATGGGATTGAGGAGTTTTTTGAAAATGGGTTTTGTATTGTGTTTGTGTGAGTGAGGAAGAAGAATGGACTCTGACGCGTATTTGAACTAATAGCGTCCGGAGATGCATCTACGTAAACTTTTCGAAGATGCATCTCCAGAATAAATTTGCGTGAAATTAAATTTTATAAGAATTATACTGAAGTTGGTTGTGTCCGAATATGCATCTACGTAATTTATACATAGATATATCTCCAATAAATTTTTTTCAACTGATTCAAGACCTTGTTTAGCATTATGTTGAATTTTAGTGCATACGCAGATATATCTTCAAAACCTAGGAGTAAATATATTTTCGCGTGGTATCGTAATAAAGCATTGTGCGTGGTATCGTAGTAAAGCATTGTATGCATTAACATAAATATTGTGTCATTCGCTTAATAAATCCATAAACTAAAAAAATTGAAGTCCGCAAGTCCAAAGCACTAAAAGGAAACCCAAAGAAAGAACAAACATTGAAATGAAACCAACAAATCTCCATACACCATAAACCATGAAAAGTATGTGAAAAGAGAAAATAAAATATACAACAAAAAATAACTACTATCACAATTAAACCTTATCTAATTAGATATAGTTGACTACATAAATCAACTTTCGTCTTAATATACTATCAAAATAATTTGAGTCTTAATATACTATCAAAATAATTTGAGAGGAATTTATATGATGAAAGTGATAAAGAATTTGAAGTATGTATTGAGAAATTTAAGAGAGTTTGAGTGCTTGGTTAATGCTGATTAATGAATTTTCAAGAGAAATAAAGAGAGAAAGGTATGAGATTATTGATTTGTAAAAATTTGTGATTTTTTTTCCGAGATAGAGTGAGAGAAACATATAATTATTGATTTGTGCATCAAAGAATATTATGCATTTTATATCCACTAAATTTTAATTGAAAACATAGAGTAGTTTTTATGTGGGCCAAGGTATAGTTTTACTATTCCCACCGTATCAAAATAAAAGTCTTTAACGGAAGGACACATATTAAGGAAAGTAGATAATAACTAAAAATCGGAAGGACATGCTGTTCCAAGTAAAAAAAAAAAAACACTTGGACCATAGTGTAAAAATCTTTTTATTTTCCACCTTAAAGTATAAGACATGTTTCACCATTCCATTCACCAAGGTTTATTGAATATGAACAGTCGTAATCATGCAACATCACAACAACTGTGAGGAAATGAACAAAATCAAACTCTGATTGCGAAAAAGCAAAGATATTGACTTAAAAACAAATATTTTTGGGTGAAAAAGAAATAAAAATGACATTAAGTATTAACAAAATATAAGAAATAAAGAACAACGAATGAGATAGATAACACTTAATAGTGCACAAGCAAAAGTAAATGTCAATTGTGGCAAGTGAAAAATGAATCTAAGGACCAATCTCACGAGTTATTTGATAAAATTAAGTTCACACATTGACATCAAACCAGCCCTTCACCATGCGTTCCATAGTCAGGTTGTAAATTGTCATTATTTATAGCGGCGATTCATAAATTAAACATTTGAAACTCATGAAGATTTTTTTCCCCAAATCCAGAGGTGCCTAAGCATTTAGGATTAATACAAACTTATAATATCTCAGTCAATCATCAAAAGGAAGGCATGGCAAGGGATTCAAATTGCATTTTTAAGTTAGCGACGAGAAAATGAAGGGCCAGCAAAAGAGTAACGAGCTGAAACTCGTAAAGGTGAGGCTTCCAACTTGTCTCCACGATATGGCTGCATTGGACGGTAATCAGGCAAAGCATCAGCAGCAGAATATGTCGAGTAATGCCTATCTTCAACGATCTCTCTCCTTCGCAAGTTATCAATCCCAGCGAAAGGTCTTCCCCCAACCAAATACGAGATGTTCTCTCTAATTAAAGGAGCCTCTCTACTTAAAGGAGGCAAATATGCACCCCTTGGTGAAGCACCATATCGATAGGCATAAGGATCATTTATATGGTCAGAAGCAACACGAGTATAGCTCTGCTGTTCACGGTCATTCAAATAAATAGGATCCCTTCGAAGCCTTTCTACATGAGCAGGAACATAGCGAGGTTCTGGGGGACGGTGCTCATAATCTCTCTCATAAGGTAGTATAGGATTAACATGAGAAGTACTAGCCAAATTCCTTCGGTCATAAGCTCGATAATTCTCCCTAGGAAATGAATCACGAGGAATATCCTCTCGTCGATCAGACCGATGTCCAGCATCTCTTTCCCTGCGTGAATGGTGTTGTGATCCCCTAACCCGACCCGGAACTTCCCTTTCCCGAATTATTGCTTTTGGAGGAGCATAAACAGGCTGCATAACTGACTGAGCCCCAACTGGTCGAAAAAGTCTAGTGAGCTTCCTAACCTGGAGCAGAACATTTGAATATCATTCATGATATAGAAATACAAAACAAAAAGCCAAGAGGTAACAAATGATTCTCACTTGTGCAACAGTAAGTTCTGGTTTGAACTTGTTCTTTTCGTTATAATTATCCTTGATAGCCTTTTTGAAAACGCTTTCGGGTAGCGGGAAAGAATCAGAAACAATCTTGAATCGGACCTGAAGTCGTCAGCTATCAGTATATAAACCATGATAAATAAAGAGGACCAGAATAAAACAGATAGGAAAATAAAAGAGAGAGTAACCTGGGCAGGAAACTTTCCACCAAAAGCTTTTGGTTCAAGCTTCATGCCACCAGAAGATGAAGCCTTGTAAATCCCATATAGTAGTTTCAGATCAAAATCATAAAGAAAGAGCTTAAGTCCAGGCTTGACTTGTAAAACATCATCCTTTTTAGCAGCTGAAACACCCATGACACGATAGCGGAAACAATCAGGCTTTGTCTTGGCACTGCACATAAGGATGAGACCACCGAGCCTTTCACTCTTTTTGTCATTTGATAGACTCTTTTCCTTCCCATTTTGCTTGTTTTTGTTTCTTCTCCGCCTAGAACCCTTCTTTGACTCTTTGAGCTTCTCTCCACTCTTCTGTTCTTGTTCAGTCTTATCCAACAGATTGATGTCCTTATCTTTTTTATTCTGTTGGCTCTCCTCCATAGGATTTTTGCCATTACTGCTCCTATTCTGACTTTCCTTCGCTTCATTGTTTTCAGCCTCCTTATTTTTCTCCTTTGTTGGTTCATCCTTTGTTTTATTCTGCTTGGTAATGTCTGAAATTGGTTTCTCGTCTGCTTTGTGAGAGCTTTCAGCATTGTCCCCTACTTTTTTATTCTTCCTAATGATTTTTTTCCTCAGAATCTGAGAGGAACTATTGTTCTTCTTGGCCTTTAATTTGGCAATGCCAACCAGAGATTTCTTAACAATTTTTTTGGCCTTCAATGATCGTGGAGTAATCTTCTCACTCAACTCTGGTTTACGAGATCCTTCAGCCGGATCAGTATCCTTCTTGCTATCATCTTTTTCTGAGGACTGAGGATTAGGATTAGAAGAAAACTCGGGAAGATTCTGAGTGCCCGTCTTGCTCTCTTCTTGATCCATATTATGCTCAGTGCCCGTCCTGCTCTGTTCTTGTTCCTTGTTATGCTCAGTGCCCGTCTTGCTCTCTTCTTGGTCCTTGCTATGCTCAGTGCCCGTCCTGCTCTCTTCTTGGTCCATGTTATGCTCGGTGCCCATCTTACTATCTTCTTGATCGATATTATGCTCAGATCCCACTCTGCGCTCTTCTTGATCGATGTTTTGCTCAGTGTCCATTTTGCTCTCTTCTTGATGTATATTATGCTCACTGTCCAGTTTGCTCTCTTCATGATCAATGTTATGCTCAGTGCCCATCTTGCTTTCTTCCAGATCCATATTACGCAGATACTTAGCCCAGAAGTTTCCGAAGAAAAATGTTACTGTAACCACCAATAAATATAACAACGTAAATATCAATGGCTTTAAAATTGATTGATATTTCACATGAAGCACAAAAGATGACAGGATGGCTTTCTAATCACAACTCTGCGGAACAGGAGATACGATGAAGGTTATTGGATAGCCACAGTGAAGCTCGTGTACTTCACTGGAGATCAAGGAGGTGGCAAAGTCAGATACTTTGAAGCTTTAGTCTTTTTTGTATTCCTTTGCTGTTTGTTTCATTTTAGACTTTAGAAAGACTAGGGAGTATCTGTAACTACCTCACCAATGCACCACTAAAAAGTGGTGGATATTATCTGCTTCCTTGTACTAATACAAGCCCCAAAATTCTAACCAAATAGGGATGCAAATCATCATAATAACTTAGAAAGATTGGAACTAATTTTAAGGAAACTTTTGATATACTATAAGACTGTATCAATATTATATAACGGTGGGAAGATATAAGGACATTTCTATGTCGCACTTGGAAAAAAAAACAGTATATGAAATGTTATTAGCCAATTCATGCAAGTCTAAAATTGTGTAATTAGCGGATTGAATATTATTGTACCTCAAGACTCTACTGGCGAGTTTAGAGGGAGGGGAAGAAAGGGCTTTGGGGGAGGAGAGTAGAAATTCATATAACAAGGCAAGAGAAATATATAAGTTTTTAAACCCAAAAAGGTATCACAGTAACACACAAGAATACAAAGATAAATGAACATGTACACTCTCTGAATCAAAGGATAACTGTTTAACACCATGTGCACAATATACACATGCACCCACCCAAACAAACAACCACGGATTGTCTTGAGTAATTTACCAGAAGCAGCAAACGATAATCCAAATTTGTGAACCAAATTCAGGGCTGCATCTTTCTGTTGTTCGGCATAACATTCAAACAAATCAAAACTAATTAATACTTCTATACAGGTTGGATAGTTTTAAAAGAGGAAAATTTAAAACAAAAAATATAAGGTTTAAAAGAACAAAAAAATATGCCATGTCGATTCCTATTGCAAATCCAATTCACTCTTCAGTCTATACAAATTACAAAATAACAAAAAAGTCTATACAATTCCACTGAAAAATAACAGACTTAACACCAAGGAAATGTAGAAGATTAAGAGATAGGAAATAAAGCAAAAGTTAGACGGATTTTCATGACCCAGATACAAATGCATGCAACACAGCTCTGTTCCTCTGCCTTTGAAAGTCAAGAATATATGAAATACAAATCAGAAACCATACATACTCTGAATTGAACAGTTGGGCAGTCAAAACTCAGTTAGTGAAGTATGTTTTCTAATACTTACAAACAGAAAAGTTCTTATATGTTTATAGACATTAAAGAAGAAGTTAAATGAGAGCTTTTGAAACAAATTTGGATGCAAACACTAATTGACTAATTATACAATAAGCTATTATTAAACATACCCATAGTTATTTCAAGATTCTTTTATAATATGTTCGGAATCACAGCCCATTCATGTTTATGACACATTAAAGCCTTTTAATTGAACTAAGTTTCTATAGCTGAAATTAGGACTTCCAAATCCAAATACAGGCTTAGTAATTATTTTTCCTACATGTGTTTCCAAAGAAATGTTTCTAAACTACCTCTCAGACAACTCTCCTACAGAATCTATCTTTTAGGATATCCTTTATCACTCACTTATTTTTAGAGCTATACCGATCTAGTGTGTTTTGAAAGTAGCAGATTGTCTCAAGCCACAACTACTAGCATCACCTCATGCTTAACATGTGCTCTCACATTTACACCGCATTGCCAAACACATACCTAGTTTTTGAACAAAATAGCATCTCAATTGAGTATCTATGAAACACCGCCGTGACACCAGACACGATAATGACGCGTCAAACAATGACATCATACACGATACTAACACGTCACAGTCATCAGACACGATACTGACACATTACACACAGTGACATCAGACACGATACTGACACATTACACACAGTGACATCAGACACAATACTGACACATTACACACAGTGACATCAGACACAATACTAACACATCAGACAATCAAACAGTGACATAAGACACAATACTGACACATTAGACACATTGACATAAGACACGATGCTGACACATCAGAAAATCAAACAGTGACATCAGACACGATACTAATACATCACACACAGTGACAACAGACACGATACTGATACATCACACACAGTGACATCAGACATGATGCGTCACACATCAGACAATCACACAGTGACATCAGAAATGATACTATCAGACACAATAAAACTTGTAACAGATTGTGTAAAAAAATTTATCCACATGTGCCAGTCCCGTATCAAGTCCATCAGACACAATGTAGCACCAACACCTCTGAAACTCATTTAATTTATTCATTTTTTTAATTATCATCGGTGTGTGAAAGTGTCGGTGCACTCTTTCCGGAGTCCTTATTTGATAGGTCAGACACACACAATGCACATATCAATCAGAAGAGTTCACAATCACATGAAAATTATGCATATATGACAATCGATTAGAAATTCAATTAAAAAACAAGAGCCAGATGATAAAAAATAACAAATAAACAAACGGTTAATTCGGAAACTCAGAACCTAGAAACGATTCAATTTGTTAACGAAATTGGCAATTGTGTGTTTCATGAACAAGATTTGGTGCAATTCGTCATCGAAACGAAAGTACGATAAAGAAAGATGCGTAATCATGAACGAGTTCAGAGAGAGAGAGAAAGTACCTTAGGGGGTGAGTTAACTCGGAGGAGAACGAGCGAGTTGAAGAAAGAGAAAAAAGGTAGATGTAAGATCGATGTGAAGCTATATAGAAAGATAGATAGATAATTTCTCAGTTTCACTTTGATCTTTCATAACCCTCGTGGGCTTGTATCAAAACAACACGATAAAATCGAAAAATGTGAAGAAGGAAAATGAGGAGTGAAAAACAGATATTTTGGCTAAATTAAGAAATAATATATATTCGGGTAAATTAAATAAATTAAACTTTTTTAACTATTATTGTGCTTGCTTTTTAATACAAAATTATTGTATAGACGTAAAAACAAATGCTCAAATTTTATTGTTATTTTTAAATTAAAAACATTACTATCAAAAATGAGATTAAGGGTGTAATTCTGTCACAAAAACCTGCTAACGAGTAGATGGGACGAGCTGATTAAGGACGTGAATCTAAAATTTTGATTCCTGAAAAAAAAATTAGGGTGCGGAAGAATGAATTTGTGAATATTATATTTTTAAAATTTAAAAATTACAAAAAAATTGTATTTAGAGAAGCTTGAAAAAAATAAAACGAGTCGGACAAATATACAAAAATATATATTTAAAATTTTATTTTACTTTTAAAAAAAATACGAATAAAACAGACAGACATGTATGTCGAACTGAGTTTTATATTAGCATATATTATCATTTTAAATTGATTATGACTTTTATTTATGATTCAAAATTTTACATTTACTTTTAAATAGATATTAGAAAGTAAATTTATGTGGCAATATTATAAAATTTTATTGAATACTACTGTAAAACTATTTTACTTCAACAATTTATCTTTAGATCACGCTTGAAATAAATGATTAGTTATGGGGGTATTACATTTATGTTGATTATTAGTCCATGGTCTTAGAATTTGAATTATTTTTTTTTTGACAAAGGTCTTAGAATTTGATTAAAACTGTATATTATGTATATTAAAAATGTTTATAGTGCGGTTTGAATGATTTTGATAGAAAAAATTATCCGAATTATAAAAAAAAAGTGTGTGGTTTGTTTTGGTTTAGTTGACTCTTAGAAATAAAATTGAATCAAACTAAATCAAATCAATGCGATTTGAGTTGGTTCGATTTTTTACAAAATATTTATTGAGTCATAGATACATATATAGATGATAATATATCTTTATATTTAACCATTTACGCGTTATCAAATAAAAACAAAATTCATTATATTTGAACAACAACTTTCCATTTAATATACAAATATAAGATTAGAGAAAAGTGGAATAAAAAACATAATAGTAGCATAAAATAATATCAAAAATATTATAATGAAATAGAAAAAATAGAGAAGATGAAAGATTAGAGAAGATGAAAAAGAAAAAGCAGAAGAGATGAGAAATTAGAGAAGAAGAGGTAATTGAAAGAGAGAATACTAGAATAAAAATAAGAAGATGGAAAAAAAAGAACATAAGAGATGAGAGACTAGAGAAGAAGATGTCAGATGTACATGGAAAAGAATATGAGAAAAAGTTGTGATAACGCTATGAGAGATTTGAGAATACTTAAATTGAAACCTTAAGTGTGAGGAAAAGAAAAACATTTGTAACTGTAAGGCTAAAACATAATAGGTTTGGGTTAGATGCAAGTTAAGTGAAGTTTGAGTTGTAACATAATGCAATTTGCTTCAGTTTAGTTCCGTTTGTATAATATAAATTGCAAACCGAACCGAACAGTGCGATTTTCGTAAAAAATGGTCCAAACACATCTGAACCAAATGCGATTTTTTACGGTTTAGTTTGGTTTGACTAGCAGTTTTCTATTAAGCTGGTTTGGTTTTGAATACCCTTAATGTATATGTATTACTTTTGTTGGTTTTATGTATAACTAGTGTATTCTAACACTAATGAAAAGTGTTATTTTTTTTAAGCATTGTTATCTTGAATCTATATATTATACTAATACTAATATCGTATATACTATTTATAGTATTTATACACTGACAGTGTTTTTTATAATAAAAATATGGGTTAAATACATTTTATCCCCCTGCAATAGTAGCGAGTTTTGATTTATCCCCCTTTTAAAAAGAAATTATTTTCGCCCCTTAACAAATATAGATTCCAAAACAAAAAACCTTATAGCCCAAGATTCCCTTTGAGATGCAGACGTGACTTGTGACTGTTTGCTGACTGGGTAATTGTATGCCACCTTGGACTAGTTTAGGTTCATTACTTATAACATTTTTCGTATATTGATTCACCCCCTTGAAAAGTTAGGATTCACTATCAGACAAATTTAGCAAGCTGATAATGGGGAAGAAACATGCAGCGAAGAAGAAGAAGCATCTGAAACAATCGAAGCATTTAAGGCAGCTGAAGAAGCACGACAAAGAAGACGCTTCTTTTGATGCTGAAAAGGTAAGTTTTTTCACCTGCTTGTTCGTTTACTCATACATACAGTTAAATGTTAGTTTTTTAATATTTTCTCAAATGATTTCAGAATAATCAACTGTTCAATGTTGTATTCCACCATGAAGGGGAATTTGTAATGTTGAATAATGGGGTTACGATTTACAGAGGGGGTGTATGTACTTTAGTTTTGGATCTCCACATAGATCAGTTGACAATGCTTAGTATCCATAGGTTGGTTACCAATTGGGGTTACAATCAGGGAACATATAGAACATGGACTTTAATTCGTGAAATAGATGATAATTATTTCCAGATTAGGAAGGATGATGACTGTTACGATTTTGCTGCATACGCGTGTGCGACCCAACTAGACGGGGAAATGTTCGTGGAGCATGGTGTTACTGATATTGGAGCCTCGGTAAGTAGTCAAAGATGTGTCAATGAGAATGTTGAGATGGAAGGATGTGATGATGATTTAGTAGAAGGGTTGGGTGATAGTGAGGATGAACGGGCCACTGCTATTCTAGATGGTTTTGAAGGGATTGATGTAACTAAACTCATTAATGAGAGTCCTTCAGTTGGTGAGTTTATGACTGGGTCCAA